ACCAAGGAATGCTAATTATTAAGATGAGAGAAGGTAGAGGGATGATGGTGTATTCTAATCAAATACTTACGTACTACTTCATCAAGGGATGTAAAATTTAACTGATCCATAAAAAAATATAGACTTCAATCACACTACTGATAAATGTTACTAACAGAATTTGCGCTGATGTTGTTGTCTAGGAAGATAATAAAAGTATCACGCGACAAGAATATCCAGAATAGAGAACACAACACCTTAGAAGTCTTCATAATGAGCTACAAGATATCACCTAACATTGTTGATTGAAAGGTGGATATTTACTTAATTATTTTTGCTAGTTCAGTGTCCGTCAGCCAGACACCATCAGCAACAACCTACTGCGGTAAAGAATAAGCCAGCTTTCAACTGAAAACGAAATAACCAAAAGACGCTGAAGGTGGATAGGATACGACATTGTGGAAATCATCAAACTGCATTACAAAGCAAGTTGACTTAAAATCTTCAAGGCAAAAGGAAAAGAGGGAGAATTCGAAATAATGAATAGCACTAGGGAATAATTCGAAAAGAGAGCTCAGGACAGATTGGTTGTAGACTGCTTGTCAGCGACCTATACTCCTCCACGAAGGGTAACAGGTGTAAGTAATCGTTGCGCTTGAAAAGTTCTAGCATCCAATGCACTACGTTCTTCTCTAATATAGTATGTCAAATAGCAAAATACTGGCCTATATGATTATCTTTTAAAGAAGTTTCTAAATTCATAGGACTATCAGCATGTTTTCAGCAATTGAATCAACCTTAGGAGTTAAGAGTCTTTGTATGTTTCTGCCTTTATTTAAAGTGCAACTGTCGAGGTTTGTAAGAGTCTAGAAAATAAGCTATCAAAACACTGCCTTAAACATTCAGTGTATCAGACATATAAACTATATGAAATACAAAACACAAATAATGATCATAGTAGACAAGGTTTTATCTTTGTTGATATGAGAGGTCATTCCTAACGGAGCATAGAATTTATGAACATAGAGATGAAGTTTATCTATACAAAAAATACTTGCTTCAGTCAGTCACAAGCAATATAAAAATTAGGGGTAAATCTGCATCAACCCATGTTGCTAAACAACATCAACACCCATTTAGATAAAACTATCAGAACGGATACAAAAGTAGTAGTATGAGTCATGGTTAGAAAATATTAGGGATAGAGAATACGGTTCGAGAATGAATCAGTGGAAATAAAAGAATAAAATTGTTTTAAAACTCAGGATCTAAGAGTAGACACAAAATAAATGGATTTATGTCACTGTCAGCGACTTTGAGTCACTTCATTCAACATCTCTTGCTTACAATGATCGCACTGAACCCAATCAGGTAGTCTGAAACTACCAACACGGCTTAGACCAACGGTCAATGAATTTATGGACTAATGTCACATTTTGTTCGGCTGTCTCCAGCTTTCTTCAGACTTACTCCTATACCAGCTAGCAACGCGTGTCGAGGTAGACAATGGTTGAGGATACGTATACATATCCCAGATATCTCAGTCAATAGAGATTCATAGCATTATCAACCGTTTAGCTGGGTTTTTTTCTAAAGTCCTGCATCTGACTTCAACCTTATCATAATTGGTGGTCCCGACATGTATGAACAAGGCTTCGACAGTAACTATGAATGTTTTTTTTACTTTGATAGGCTACACAATTCACAGTCATCATAATAAAACAGAACGAAATCTGTTCAGTATACTCCATTCTATTCGTTGGCAATTAGATGGATCTCAGTTACTAATCTACAATGAACACTAGTTGCTAAGCAAAATTTCTAAATCCATTTGTCAATAATTTGTTTATTCGCAAACTAACTAACTAACTCAAATGAATTTTTCATTGTTTGATTATTGAAATAAACTAATGTGTTAGATTTTAATTTATAGCTGTTATAGACTGATTAATTAGCATATTGAAATAAATTATTATTATAATTTATAAAGTTTGGTTAAAAGTTATTGTCATGTAAGTGGTCTTCATTATGAACTCATAATGTGCTCTGATTATGTAACTTAAAATTTTTAGGTTGTGTATGTGTATGTGGATAGGGAACACACATTGAGGAAAGCACCCAACTACGTCACAAGGCAAGCCTTCACATGGAATCCTCAAGGCCAAAGCAGGAGAGGAAGACCAAAGAACACATTACACCGAGAAATGGAGACACACAAGAAAAAAATAAACAAAAATTGGATAGGACTAGAAAGGAAGGCCCAGGACAGAGTGGGTTGGAGAATGATTGTCAGTGGCCTTTGTCCCTTGGGAGTAACGGGCGTAAGTAAGTAATTGTGTGTAGGATGTAGAGTTTTATGTGGGGTATGTGTGGAAAATTATTAGCCTAAGATGTATATTCGTTTGTTTGTGGGTTTTTTTGTTTAGAGTTATTACAGCATTCCCTTATGTATACTTTGCTTTTATACTTTCTATTCGAAAATTATTCTTCAATGTATTGGATTGTTCTCAGTCATTGTTATTAGCATAATTATATTAACTCGTTTTTTAGTTGTCTGCTCGTATGGATTAGGTATGGTAATATGGACTAATGAGAATTTGTGTCAGGCTTTACGTGGATTATAACCGATTGACTTACCTAGACTAAGTATGAAATTGAAATACTACTACTACTAATAATTATTATTATCTTTAACAACAACTAAACGAAGGAATTGAAGTGATTTTGGTTATATTTATCTAAAACACAAAAGCAATACTATTACCATAAAGATATAACAAATTGGCGCCAGCTACTTATCACATTGAATATTAGTAGTATAATTACATTTCCATCAATAAAATGGTGTATAAGGCTTAACAGTATGAAAATTAACAACAGAATAGTGAATTAATGAAGTAAGTCAACAAAATAATTGTAAAAGCTTCTATAAGAGACTAGAATTAATGAGGGAAATTTCATGGTCGTTTGGAAAAAAAAGAAACATTACAAATGAGAAACGACATTTACGTTATTCTATTCAAATCTATCTCTCATATTCTTTTTTCTTATTCATCTCTATAAACAAATAACTTATAATTGATTTATCTTGGAAAAAACAATTTACATTAGGCTAGAATAATTCAACTGAACAATAGATAGTAAATATCAGTATAGGGTTGTGGAGGTTATTAATTTTTTGATTGAGATCATGAATCGATTGATGTTAGACCACCATTGAAAACCTGGAAGTACTGAACGGCAGTTTCGTCCTATTGTGGGACTCCTCAGCAGACCGGTTGAGGTCAGACATTAACACCGTTGGATGCCGCCGACTCAGTGGTCTAGGGGTTAGGCGTTCGCGTGCGAGACTGAAGGCCCTGGATTTGAATCCCAGGAGAGGGATCATGGATGCGCACTGCTGAGTCCCACAATAAAACGAAACGGCCGTCCAGTGCTTCTATGTTTTCACTGGTGGTCTAACATCGGTTCATGATCTCAATTAAAAAGATAATTATTAGATAGTACAAACAACATTATACGATAATAATAAAAATAAAATCTGACGAACACTTTTGAATATGACGTCCCACCCAAGTCCAGTGACAGTTATCTAAAACCAGAATGTCAAGCGGAAAAAACTCACAGTTCGGAAGAAAGTTTTATCCTCGAACATCGAATTCAAGGGAAATACAGCAGCTGAGATACTAAAAAACAAAATATCCAGATCCTTGAAAAAGACTTTTTATTCAGCAGAGCTCCAACTATTTTTCCAGCAAGAAATTCATTCAGGGAAGTGTCAAGTATAAACTGCAGTTTAAGCCACCTCAATGTGCATCTACCAGTTTACTTACTTTCGTGAAGCAGGTTATATTGGACGTACAGAGCACGCACTTGGTGAACGAATATCCAAACATTAACCTGCATCATTATCTAAAGGGATATACATATCAACAACACCTCAGTTCTCAATTCATTTCACATCTCACCACTCGAATTCGCGTTCTAAATCCTCTACAAAGTAGGAAGAACTGGCTCAAAAAAAAGTTGGACGAGGAATTTATGCCCAGCCGAGGCCATAGTAATTCACCATTTAAAACCCAAATTCTGTGTACAGAAAAGTCACATACAATCCTTTATTTTTCCATACCAGTTGAAGGACTGTAGAAAACTAGGATGTACTAAATGTTAATTCTATTCTAGTCTGGGATTAATTAGTCAATTGTAAGGTATCAGATGAGGATCAAGCTATATTACGAATTGAATAAAATTGAAATTTTGAACGAATGGACAGTTATCTAGAGAATTGGAATCAATCCCGGACCTGAATGTCACAGATTTCATTCCTGACAAAGTTATAGGTGAATATTACTGAAAAGTTATCACCTAGGTATCAAAGGTTCTCTAGGTTTGATCGATACACTGACATGATTATTGTGATGAGGATTAAACCTCACAATTGTTTTGGTCACAAATTACACCACGTTACTCATGCTATTCAACTAAATTTACCAAGTAATCATTGGTGTAGATTATTATCGAGTGGAATCTCAAATTTTCATTTCATCCATACGGAATTGTAAATACAATCATCTATGTAAACGTTAATATTGCATCACAACAATCATTTGAGCTAAATAAAAAAAAGTGATCCCCAGAAGTGATAGTGGATGTGTGTACCAATCGATTATTATCTTGAAGAGAGCAGAATAATTGCGAACCAAATAGATCAATGGAAACATCGTTGACTGTGATGCTCAGCGGATTGTCTTCGGTTTTCACAGAGAACACCAACTCGCCAAAAATTGTAGAAACAAATTGCTGATAAGTGTCAACTAGCTTGAAATCTAAATCCTACAGAGCTACATGTCGATTACCTCTAATAATACTTATATGAAAGGTACTAACATTACTCGGCTTTGCACCCTTAAGTAGGCGGTGTAAAATCTGGGTCCAAAAAAAACAACTTTAACCTGCTTTTATTTATATAAATAATATTCAATTTTGCATATCAATGCATATTTACATACCGATTCACTTACGTATATAATTTGAACTATAGACACTATTATTATTATTATTAGATTTCATTTCTGAGTCAGCGAGAGTAGACTGTTGTGTTCTTGTACACGGTGTAACTTGAGCATACAGATGAACACAAGGTGTTGTCTGAAATATCAATTTTATATAAACAGAATGAGTGAATATTAGTTAAATTAATTACAGATTAGTTGTATAAATCTGTATGGAGACATGTTGTAGTTAACGCTAGAATTTAACTTATCTCAATTGTCAGTCAGTCATCAACAACATAGAACTTCGTACGTACGCATCCCAATTGTAACTCAGATGCGATATTTTCAAGTTACTTTACTTTCCCATACGAAATACATATGATACTTTGAAGGTATGTATAGGTAAAATATCATATACTGGAAAATTGACTGAATCATTGAATAGTATCATGTCTACCACAAGGTTTTTAAGCCTCAATTTAATGTTAAAATGGGTTCTCATTATTAACTGGAAATTGTACAAAATTTTAGCAAATCGCTTAACTGACCAGTTTAGATTAAAACTAAGTACAAACATATATTTCGTTTTATTTAAATCATGAACGGATTTAAGTCAGACCACTATTGAAAAGTAGAAAGTACTGGACACTAATGCAGAACCATCGGTGTCACACATGAACGCTTGACCTCCTGGGTTAGAGTTTCATGTATGGAATATTGAAAGCGCACTGCTGAAGTATATTAGTTTCTGATATTAATTATTTAATTGAAAATTTATCAATCAACTCTATATCACAACCTGTTTCAAAATTTTCTTGTTATTAGATAATTTAATAATAAATTTAAAGTTTAATTACGTAATAATTCGTGTATTAGATACATCTCTTAGCTTTTCGAATCTAGGAATATTTATTTCATATATTGTTGATAAGTTTTCTTTAAATATCGTCTAAAATAACTCTAATGTGAATGATACCAGTCATGCATAGCGTTGTAGCATGAAAGACAGCTTTATAAGACTAGGATCTATCGGTTCTTGATAACTCTTGGGCTGGAGTGGCCAGAGATCCTGTAACTTAGTGATGTTATCTAGATATAGCACATAATAGAAACTAGTGGCGATCCCGTAGTAGTTTTCGATCCGATTCATAGAAAGAATGAGATGAACTCCCCCAACAAGTGAATGAAGTCTTTCTTGCCTGTACTTTTAGCTGGAATTTATGTTTTATCAAGTATAATTATTGTTCATTTACTTACTAATTAGACTACACTTTACTCCCTTGCTTCTTCACAAGTTTTTCACCTCATTTGTGTGGTGCATTTCATCTATGATGTCCTATCGAAACGGAATCTATGAGCTACCAGACAAGATTTGGTCAGCTTGAATGAAAAAATAAATTTCGACGGCAACTCATGTAACAATCACTTGAGGGAAGGGTCAATGGTGGGTGTTAAGTATTAATTAGAATACGCAACTTGGGAATCCGATTTAATAAAATAAAAGGCTTACAACATAATTACGCACTATTCTCATACCTTCAACAGTGATCTAACTTATAATTTAGCGATTGAGAAAATAGAAACTTAGAGAGTTTATTGTATCTCACATCGAAATTGATAAGGTGTGAAATAAGTTGGCGCTTTTGTTAATCAGTCATGAGGAAGATGAGTTTTAAGGAGCCGGATTCAATATTACGAGCAGTTTAGAAGTTTGAAAATACCAGCTTTAGAAATCTGGACTAAATTTTGAGAAATATTGGATTATATGCGGTATTTGTCACACAAGGATATCCAGTTAGGGTACCATTGAAAACCAGACAAAATTGTATAGCTGTTCCGACATGGTAAGCGATTACTCGGTAGCTTGTACTTACAACATCACTATAGATTGAATATAGGGTCTTAAAGATTCATAGTTAGCGTTTAATCTTCAGATCGTAGAATCTGATCTAAAATAGTTTACATTTCCAGCTTCGAACAATTTGCAATAAAACACCGTCAGTGATGATTGCTAGCCTCACTTTGGCATGAACAAAGCAGATATTCAATGCTCACTGATCTTACCCTAACTGATATCAATCTGTGATGAAAAGCACTTACAAGTTAATTTAATCTCTTCACAAAACTTCTCATCAAAAATATGAATGTATTATAGCGAGAATTCATGACTGATGACGGAAGAGAGGAGACCGATAGACAGAGTTAACACAAACGGTACTCAATGATGGTGGTTTTATATCATGAAATAATCGATACTGAAAATGTAAATCATTGGAATTCATCTTGATGATCTGAAAATACCAACATTAACTTACGGAACATTGGTAACAATTTCCAATCTTTGTATGATTATGACAAGTCGGTTGATTAGATAGCTGACAGTTATCAATAATTTTATTACTGTTATAATTATCATTATTATTATCATTTGAAATCTTTGAAGAGAATTTCGGAAATTGAAGTGTAACACCGGCATTAGTAGCGGTCGTGGTGACTGTAGTAACACCATGGTACTGATTTTTTGTATTACCGTCCGCTTCTTTTCATTATTACTACTATTATCACCCATGTTACATTCGTCTTTTAATTGAGAATAATGTGATTGACATGGATCACGTCCTGATGAATAAAGAAATATATATATATATTATATATAAGAAACATTTTTTTGAAAATTTACGAACAATTGATAAGCTACTTTAAACTTCTACAGAAAAATCATTACAAATTAAAGAAATGGAAATTAATATCAGAATCGGGGTTTGTGGAGATTGTGGTAATTTTAATAGTTGAATTTATGAGTCGATGTAAGGTAGACCATCATTGAAAACCTGGGAAGCACTGAACGGCCGTTTCGTCCTAGTATGGAACTATTCAGTAGTGCGCATCCACGATCCCATATGCATGACTCGAACCCAGGACCTTCGGTTTCGCGTGAGAACGCCTAACCTTTAGATCACTGAGCCAGCATCCAATGGTGTTAATGTCTAACTCCAATCGGTCCATGAATTCAACTATTAAAATTAATACAATCCCCATAAACGCACATTCTGATAATAATCATCATGTGGTCATTAGTGACTGGCTTCAAGATGGATTTCCTGGAGTTCTAGTGAGAAGCAGTGATCTGTGGTGTGTAATCCTTGTCAAGTAGAGACAGGTATCTACCTCAGACAATGGATGAATGGTTACGAAAGATCATGGATCGATTGAAGTTAGACATTAACACCGTCAGATGCCGAATCATTGCTCTGGAGGTTAAGAGTCCGCGCACGGGACCGAAGGTCCTGGGTTCGAGTCATGCATGCGCACTACTGAGTAGTCTCTTACTAGGACGAGACGGTCGTCGAGTGTTTCCTGGTTTTCATTGGTGGTCTAGCTTACATCGACTCATGAATTTAACTATTAAAATGAAAATTAGTTTGACCTTAGTTTGGAACTGATCAACAGTGTATGTACATAGATAGAGTGATGCTCTCCTCTTAACCGATTTACACTATGGTATCAGTTAGCATTTCAAGTTAGATTTGATAGATAAATTTTGTTGTTAAGTCATATATGTAAACTAATAAACAGTTTCACACTTCAATTGATACTGAGTGGAAAAAGCCCGAAAATTTTGTATAAGAATAGAGAAAGTTTTCGATAACTGTTTCACATACATTTTAGATTGTTAACGAGAAAAAAAATCTTTGGGAACATTCTGAAATTTATTACTTTAGCTATTACTATTATGGTGATTACACAAGTCATCATATTTCTCTATTGTCCTAATGATTTTATTTATGATGTTTACAACTCATTCAAAAACTTGAACTACCAACCAGTGTCCGGAGCATTAACCGGGTTGGTGGATATGGAAGATCCATCTAGGGAAGTTGGAAAACTCTGATTCCAAACAAATGGTGCACATGGGCTCCAGCATCCTGAGGGAACAATTGGTGTATGAACCTATTGTTGGTCACTGGCTAACATGGGCTGCATCTCCTAACGTTGCTCCTTCGCCTTGTTTATTAGACCTTTAGGTCAAAGGGGCGTGGCCCCCCAAGAAAACCATCAGTTTTGGTTTGGGCGCCCAGAAAGTATTCCAGCCTTCACACAGACCGAATGAAGTGTGGCGCATATATATTCGGTGCCTCCTTGTATCAATGTTTATGTGTTTAAATAAATAAATCAAGATGATTAATTGTATTTATTCCTTTAGACGCTTAGCATTCAAACTCAGTCTGACTTTGGTGTGATCTGTCTTTTTTCATGGCTTACAATCCATGAAAGCTGTATGCTACTTATAGATAAGGCTATATTGCCCATAATTATCAATTCTGTTGCATTTCCCATTACTATCCAGTATGTGTATGTTCTATTCTCTTTTTTATTGGCTAGCTTTATTTATTCCCAATCCCTATACGAATTATATTAATTTAGATTGCAACAACAGAATGAGTATTAAAATATTAAGTTTTAATTGTTTTAACGTTCAATAAAACCCACTAACGGTGTTAGATGATTTCGAGCTGTGATTTTGAATTGTGATTAGACGTCAAAAATGTGAACAATTCGATTGTGATTCCATGATCTAAAGATAACACACTCATAGTGAGAAATGAAAATCCTGGATTATACTCTTAGCGATATAGCAGGTATGTGTACTAACTAAATAATGTTATAATAGGCTAAAATATCTATCCAGTACTCCCTAGTAATTGTTAATAGCTCTGTAGTTGTATTATGACAAAATCTAACTTCGGATAATGTTAATAAATTTTTTAATCAAATATAAATTATATTTTTACCTGCCTAATAGGTAGGATCACAAATTCTGTAGACTATTACATGTTGTTTAAACATTTTAATGTCTGTTGAAAGGGATTAATCTTGTATATGAGGAAATTTTCAATTTTACTTCTCATCTCATCATTTTTATGATTTTACCCATTAAGTTGAATAATAATAATAATAATAATAATAATAATAATAATAATAATAATAATATACCTCTAGGATATTTTCCTTCAAAAAAAGTAGAATGCGCACGAATCAATGGCGAAAACTTACTATTTCCAGTCATGTTTTTATTAGTATGCATTGAATTACTATTATTAGTAGTAGTCGGAGTAATATTTACATTAACTATTGTTTCCGTGTCTTGAAGTGTTTCTTGTGTAACAAAATTGTTACCAATCGTAGAAGAGGGAAATGGAGGCGGAGGATGACTTACACTTGCATACAATCCATCAGAATCCGATGTTGGATCATCAACATCATCATCACATAATGAATAACATCGATTATTTGTATCAGAAACTCCTGTTAATGAATTTTTTTTAATTGATTGTAATAATTTAGGGATGGTAACATCATATAAATGATGCTTATTACTAATTAGTTGTTTCACTGTTGGGATTGAATAATAATAACATGTTAATTGATCCATGTTATCTTCTGGTAATGGTGCATGATCAACATGAGTTTGATGATGATCAATTTTAATTTGTTTATTCTAAATGATAATTAGAATGAAGAGAATAATGACACAGAAAAATACAAATATGAATACCAATAATAAAACTATGTTATTCAAAAGTTATGCATAAGATTTTGAATTTTCACTGACTAATTGGATGAGGGATGTATTACACATGCTTAATCAGAGCTTACCTTAATGCCCAATTTTGGCTGAGGTAGAAATAAACCAGAAGAAAGCTAGTAGATTTCAACCAACCGCTTAGGGTTTACGTAATCACCGTAACTAATGTTTGGAGACATTAAGTGACATGGCTCAAACAGGTTGCAATGGTCCAAATGTATTCACTTTTTGATTTTGCTTAGATTTTGAGTTTTAAAATTATCTTATACTTTCTATTCTGCAGATTCATATTCCTTATGGCTAATCTTTTTTACCCATCATTGAATATTATTTTTATTTCCCTTACTTGTTACTTAGCTTGATAATTTCATCTCGATGTATTGATTTAGTGTGGGAACTTGGACCGATGCATATTTGCACCAACCTCCAAGCTGAATTGAATGGTCAACTAATGTAATTCACATATAATCTGTATGGTAAGGGTAAATGAGACATGTATGGTGGGACAATCGATTGAACAACACTCACATGAGGCGTAAAGTACCACGCAAAGATAACAAAATCTGTTGATGCATCTTTTAATAAATGTTGACTAAGATGGTTAGAATATGTTACGCATACGCAATCGCTATCTTTCTGGATGCACAATGCCGAATGACTTAGGTTGGAATAAAGCTAGGATCAATCAAACGAAGACGTGGCATCGGTTCATAAAATGTTGGTAGTTTCAAACTATATAGATGGGGTTCACATGATAGGTAATGATCGAAGGTTGAACAAGATCTCAGGGAAACAGATGAATTCATTTTTCATCATTCTATGAATTTTGAGTTTCATAACACTATTTCATACTTTCCATCACGTAAAATTATTCATCCTTCTTAAATCATATTCTTTACATTTAGTCTTTCTCACTATTATTAATTATGACTCCTTTAATACGCATTATATTGATTATATTTAGCTAGGTTGATACAGTTGGGTCTGTGATTCTCGACTTGAAACAAATGTAGAAGTATATGCTTCTAGACTAGGGGAAATCATAATATTTGTGATCTACTTTCAGGTTATTCCAATATTTCTATTGTCCATCAACAAACCCCAAGAGTAATTTATGTATTTCATAACCATGCATTTACTCTCTTGGTTTATGAACTTCAGGTTAAAAACTTTTACACATTATTAATAAGTAACTCTTTGAGTTGGTTTCCAGTTCTGTATAGTAGTCTTTTTACGATTTCTTCATCTTCGTATACCCTGATGAATCCTTTTAGATTTACATATACAGAGAGTAGAGTTAGGTAAGTGAATAGAAAAAAATTGCTCTCCCAAACTATACTCAAGGATGTCAACACTTTCTTGCTACACTTCTATATTTTGTTATAGCTCTATGAAGAGGATATGACTACCATCAGAAATATTAAACTTATGCTAAACAGTCGCTTTTTTTGAAACTACAAATGACCTTTTTAGCAGTATAAACCTTGTTTTAACTTTATTTTGTGTTTTACTGTCCGATTCAGTCATCGTCACCTTCCTAATGCTCAACCAAATGATTGTCCAAAGAGAGACCAAGGTTGTGTGGAATGAAGAGGTTTTATCTAGGTGGACAATTTGCCTACTTATAACAACCCATTCTTCATCATTTCACAACCCATAAAAATTTGCCTCTCACTAGTCGAATACCATCTATCCGGCATTGCTCATATTTTACTTTCTATACCATAGTTTTTGTACCAATATTCGTACTGTCTACCATTATGTCGGTTAGTAGCAGGCATCTGATGAACAGTGTCCAGTTATCTGAAAAAATCCTTCTTAAAAGAGAAAGAAATAAACTCGTTTGTGATATTGTCCTACTTTTTCCTGTACTGATCGGTAGACATGGGATAAGTTCTCAGAATAATTATGGTTAAAAGTCCACACTATTAAATGCTACTACGAAAAATCCACTGTATATTATCAAAGCGCTAACTTACCTCAGTAAATGCCGCATCGAAGTATGTCGGTACTGGTGGAAGTTCACAATTCCTATGTGAGTTACTGTCTTGACTAAATAAAAAGCATGAGAAATGATTCATTAAAAATGAATTCTATTTTGAGAATATATTATTTAATTAGTATGAGGGTGTGAAGATTATTGAATTTCATTTGAAAACATGAACAGATCTAATTTAGATCAGTATTAAAAACCTAGAAACATTCGGAGGGCATCCCGTTCAACTATGGGACTCTAAAACAGTGAGCATCCACAATCTCGCGCGGGACTCGGACCCGGAGCCGTGGTTTATCATTCCATCAATTAATTAGTTGAATTTCTGATTCCTGCTTCAATGACGAATTTGACAAATATTTCGGCAGATTGTTTGTTTCGAATGGCTAGAGTTATTGATCTAATGACGGACTGATGTATAATCACTATCATTGCACAATACTAAAAGTTACTACTGATGGCGATATAAGTAGTATTAAATCTCTAATGCAACACAGGAATCTAGTAAACTGTTATAGACTCAGTTTTGATCTACTGTTAGTATGTGATGACGCGTACTAACACTACCTGATTGTGTAGATAGCAAGACATGGAATGAAGTTTAAATCGAACGGTTGAAAACTAATTGCTTCAATCAGTAAATTTATCATTAAAAAGAGAACAATAAAAGCACACAACTTTACATGCATTACATCAGTAGTCAATATCAGTGTTTAATATTCTGAGCCAAACAAATTCTATGGTTATTAGGTCTGCAAATACACAATGGGATCGACTATTGTTAGAGATGACTGAGTCCTTGTAGGCTAAACAACTATAGAATCATTGGTATATTAGCCTCAATAATTTACAAACTCTGCCAAAAAACAACTGTGGTGGTGAACTAAAGTCGAGTTTCACTGTCTGAAGTGCAGTTATACTATGTCGGATAACTTCATTCCTTTAAATAATGACAGTGATATTACTGTTCTGATATATGATACTGGACTGATATTCAATAAGATTATGACGAGTTACCAGTTGCGCTAAGTTCGCGTTATATCTGAAGGAGATGTATAGGGCAATGATACTTCAGTGTTCAATAATTTTTTATGCAGTAAAGGCATACTAAATATGTCATACCAGTGTGCAAAAATAAGAGCCTGATTCAGTTTTGGCAGGTATGTTTGTACATATGAACGTTGGCCCAAAGCATCAGGACCTCAGAATGTAAATGGTAGTATTGATAAGCACGCGTTAGAAGATCGTACAACATCCAACATACCACACACATTCAAAGAATATGACAGCATTCGTTCATATATGCTTTATTTTAATTACATTTATGCTATAGGTCTAAATATTCCTACCACAATCTTAGATTTTGGATCCATGTAGTACATGGTGAACTAAAAACCACCTCCATTAAAACCAAACACAACTATGTACATAAAGGTATATTCCTATAGACCCTTTGAGACAACAGTTAATGTCTAGTGAGTGGGTTTATTTGAGACTTTTTTTGAAATTCTGTAAGTAGCTCACAAGATGATGACATGGCTGAAACACGATCATAACAATATCCAGGTTGTAAAATCTACATGAAATCTAATTAAATTTAGGCACTAAAAATGTGAACAAAATTATGCGGTGTGTTCAGTTCAAATTTGAAGCTATAGTCTTTCATAAAAATAGCAATAATTCAATATTTTACTTCAGTGTTCGAGATGAAACTGCAATACATTATGCATTTCTGAAAGTAACATATATCGATTCTGCACATAAGACTTATAACCTAAGTGAGTATCGAGGAATAATCGCTTTATTTGGAAGGTTTCCTTTGGGTTTCAGTTAGTTGTTCCAAATAGTCTAGGAACAGAAAGACATTGTCATATATAGCATTTGACGACAAGAAAAAAAGAAAGATGTGAAACTCTTGGAAGCATTCAAAGTTATCATATATGGTATATACAGTACGGGAAATTTTGTTATGGACTAGGTGACCGCTAAAATCTCGACTAAGCAATCTAAATACAGTCATGTCAATATAGTATTAAGTTTGTTTTATGCATTACAAGCACCAAGGGAAACTATTAAAACATCATTGAATTGTATTACTGGATTAGTGGTTGTTGTGCGGTTTTTTGTGTGGATTAAAATCTCACAGAGTTTGAATGTTACAAATTTTAAATGTTTTCGTTGTAATCTTATCTAATTCAACGATGTAGCGTTCTTTGATCAAAGTTCAAACTCGTTTAAACACAATAATTTTATTAAATATCAGTTCAGTATCATATATCACAACATTAATATTGCGGTGTGTGCTACTTATATTGACATAAGTAGTATATGATGTTAGTCATGAACAGAAGGTCTGACAGCAGAGAGACAAGAAGATCGAACAGTAAAAAATGGAAAAAGGATGCAATTTGTATGAAGTCTGAGTCATTTTGAGATAATTGGTGGACATTTTGCAAATTAAGTATTTACTTTATGATTGTTAGATTTTATTAACAAGTCTTGTAATTTTGTGTTAAATACATCCGATTGTCCCCACCTGTGTTCTGTTCACTACAATATCACTGTCATTATTTGAAGGAATGAAGTTATCCGACATAGTATAACTGCACTTCAGACAGTGAAACTCGACTTTAGTTCACCACCACAGTTGTTTTTTTTGGACAGAATTTGTAAATTATTGAGGCTAACACACCAATGATTTTATGATAGTTTAACTTTCAAGAATGCAGTCACTTCCAACAATAGTTAATCAACGAAAGAATTTCACCTTGATTATATTTATTCATTTAAATGTAGAAAAATTACTCAATCATTAAATACATTATCTATCAAACGGGTAACCATTTATTTATAACGAAAATTAATCACATGACAACAAGCCAAAATGTTAAAAATGATAATAAGACGATTGTATGTTAGATAGTTCACCGATTTCTTTTTGTTTAAACTCGATGAGATCATTATGGTAACTAATTTCTTCAAGATTTCCTGCTGTGTTTTTTTTGTTTTATTTTCTTCTAAATTCTTTGTTCAAAGAATTATTTTTAAAAAAATAGGAAGAAAATTTTATACCAATTTCACAATTTGGATCATTTTCTCCGAGATTTTATAGACGTTTCGAATTGATTTTGTACGTGAGATAGCTATCACTGGCGGTAATTCATGACCGCTGCAAAATATCAAGAGTCAACTTAATGTTGAAAATGTGAACCATTGGATACCAGTTTAGTGGTTTGAAAGTAATAGCACTTATTTATACAAGAAAGAAGAAATTAGCAGACTACAGGAAGTGTTTTTCGCATCACTTGGGGACTCGTCAGTTGGATGTAGTACCCGTAGTAACCTAACATTGATGCTCACACACACACACACCAATACTAGAATCTAATCTAACACTACGTTATTCAAATACCAAGGAGTTAGACATCAGGCAACCAAGCTACAACGAATGCTCTAGGCAGTCATCAACGTAGATTCTGAACCCCTAACAATTCTGTACTCAATAGCAACTATAATTTCATGAGAATAGATTATAATAATAAGATTCAGAAATCTGTGAGCATGAATGCTTTCTTTTTCTTAAGAAATAAGTTAAATTAAAGGAAAGTGGATTGAATTTAAGGATATTGGCTTCGAGTAAAAAAAAAACTACAGTATATGACCATTTGATCATAATCGAGAAAACTACTTTCAAGTGTCTGTACGAAATTGAAAAAAAAAGATCGAATAACTTTTATCTTTTGTCTCATAAATTGTACAATAGAAAACCTTATTTAAAAGTGTTAAGAAATATTTATTACTGTCATTCTACAGTAAAATGATGATGTATTAACTGATCACTTTCTTACATTCTGATTTTACATAGTACATCAATCAATCAATTTTTGTTTCCATGTACCGTGTTGATTGTAAACTTGGAAAATATTTATTTTATTGGTAATTTACTGAATAATCTTCAAAGTTATGAAGTAGGAATGCTCAAACTTGTAATGAATTTTATGCATGACTTCACCATACTACTGTCTTACTGACTGACTGACTGACTGTCTTACAAAGCCATGTTACTAGATCTTAAGCAAATTTGTAGGTGATAATGAATTTTTTACTTCATTATTTATGATTATGAAGAAGATTCAAAAACAAAGTTTAGGCGTAAGTCAATTCATACTCTGTTTATTGAAGTTATGTAATAATATTTCTACAATAATAATACCAGAGAAATGATAATAAGCCATAACAAATCGTAAGATTTGCTAAAACTCAAAAAATCTGACAGGTTTCATTGTTTCCATTGAGAAATACTTTGATTTGTAAAGACTCTCTGCTCATTGGCTGAAAAGTAGCTATAAAAGTACTCAGTTATTTTAAGAATCTCTCGATTTTGTCCCGTACTCTACTTTTATCGTCTTCAGTAGTATATATATATATATATATATATATATATATATATATATGTCGATTAACTTCATTTCAACTCCTGCATAGGAAAATGGTGAGCATTTCAAATATACATCAGGTCGGAAATCTATACACTCTGCTTTGAGGTATACTATAGTTACATAAAGGCTAGTCAGCCAATTATAATCAATCTAGAACCTAGCACAAATATGCTTTAGCCCAAACTGCCATATCTACTTAGGACGATGAGATCAAACTAACAAGATGAATAGTAAATGAGTAAAAGTAATAGTGGTAACAAAAATAGGGAAAAAAATGTTAAACACTGGAGAATATGGTTGGCAAAGCGATAATGTATGAAGGAATATTAGAATTCATGATTAAGGGTAAGATAAGGAGTGAATGTATCTACGCCCCTCCAAATGATTTTAAATCAGTCAACTATGTGCTAAACTTCATCCAGATAGCTTTCAAGCACTTAATAATAATAATAATAATAATAATAATAATAATAATAATAATAATAATAATAATAATAGAAAAACTGAATAGGATACGAGCAAAGGAATTATAAACACATACTGTAGTGATGGATAACTACTAGGAGATATAATATCCGTACTATTCATATTTGTATTTAGTCCAATTGTGGTAGCATACGCCAAATCATCTTCATTGACGAATAAATTAGAATTTTTAATTAATACATGATTGGTGGTATCATGATTGATGTTAACATTGGTGGTAGTGATAGTTTTAGTTTCAACATTAGTAGTGGTAGTATTGGCAACAGTATTAAGTGCACATTTATGCGGTCGAATAAGTCTAACTGTGAAATGTTTATGGTGATTGTAAGTGATTTTCTGAAATAGAAAAAAAATATATTTCATACAAATTTAACGAGTATAGATACTAATTTAATTTCAAAAATCAGCACTTAACGATGATTGGGAAAAGTTTTATGAACTTATCTTCAAAGTTGGATAGTTTAAAGGAATAGTTAGAACATTTACAGTCAGGTTTTTCGACAAACATGACAGAGAGGAACATGAAATAGTGGTAGATTTCAAGCATCTTTTAAATCCCAAGTCTCCTAGAAAATAATGTCAGAATTATGAATGATGGAATGATGATGTTAGACTTCAAGTGCTAGGAAAACATGAGAGATCTGGTGACGAATTTATGAAATTCCAGTAATTAAAACAGTGTGCACATTAATTACGAATATCGAATTACTGCCTAAACAGGAGATCATACAGTTTAACACAAGACTATATTTTTAAAAAAGTTTACAATACCCAGAATAATAAATAACATTGATGGTTTGAACCACTAGCTATTGGTTCGAGTAGTGTGGATGATACGATGTGAAATGTTTATGCCTAACAATCACGTCTTTATTGATTGAAAAACGGGTGACCAACAAACTAATTTCCTCGAACAGCCTATGATGTTTCGTCATGCTTATTTTGTGTTCAAAATTTGTATATTACTTAATCTGATTACCCCTCGTGGAGGAGCAAAGACCGCCCACCGGGATTCTTCAGCCAACTCTGCCCCGACCTCTTCTTTCCAGTTGTTTCCGAGTGTTGCTCATCCTTTTTGTGTCTCGATCTAATTCTCGACGCAATGTATTCCATGGTCGTTTTCTTTTTCCTTTGTCTTCAGGATTCCAAGTTGGGGCTTGCCTTGTGATGCGGTTCGATGATTTCCGTAATGTCCTATCCAACTCCAGCATCTGTTCCTAATTTCCTCTTCAGTTGGAAGTTGCTTTGTTTTCTCTCACAGTAGGCTGTTGATGATATCCGGCCAACGAAAATTGATATTTTGCACACAAAATTGTTTGTAAATAACTGTACCCTTTTGATTATGGTTGTAGTAGTTCGTAAATTTTCAGTTTCGTACACTAGAACTGTCTTGACGTTCGTATTGAAAATTCTGACTTCAATGTTGGCTTGCAGACAGTTGTTTTGAGTTCTATATGCTCTCTAATAATAGGAATGCTACCCTTACTTTGCAAATCCTTGCTTTTATGTTTGCATCAGACTCTCCTTGTTCATCGATTATACTGCCCAAGTATGTAGAACTTTTCCTCTCTTCCAGAACTTCTCTAACAAATGTTACTTGTTTGTTTCTCTGTGTTGTATTTTAGGATCTTGTTTTCCCTCTTGTGAATGATGAGACCTACTGTTGTAGATGCTGCTGCTTCACTGGCTGTCTTCGCCCGCATTCGTTGATGTACATGAGATAGAAGAGCTAGGTCATCTGAGAAGTCCAAATCGTCTAGTTGCATCCAAGCTGTCCATTATATTCCATGCTTCCCCTCAGATGTGGTCTCCATAATCCAGTCGACCACAAGAAAAGGACGAGAGTGAGTAGCCCTGTCTATTTTGAATATAAGGATTTTATTTTATTACACAAAGATCCATTCATCTGGTTAGTGGTCTTGTCTCCAACTTTGATCATTCGAGGGCTTAATTCGATTATACAGTCTCGTAAATAGCCATTACTGGGTCGAATTATATCATTGAGGTCCATCTATCGACCTGACTGTAGCTGCTAACTTGAAGTGGTGGTCGGGCTTGCCTATCATGATAACTCAACCGAGTTATATTAGCTGGAATATTGGTTTCTTGAGGTCATACCAAGCCAGGTAGGTTGGTTGGAAAAAGTTAAGACTTAAAGCAGCAACTTAAGGCACGAGGGCGAAGTTGTACTCCTGGCTCTAGAGGGGTGTGACAGCAGTAAGGTGCTTCTCTAGGACAACCGGCATCTGTAACAATGCTATCTTCTCACAACGGAATGTAGGGGTTAGAAAAGGTCCACCCCAAAAATATCACACCTCGCCTTGCCTCACGAATTTCCGTCTCTTGCGGTAAGACTTTTGAAGTGTGAGGCGAACTCGTCAAAAACTTCCTATAAAATGACGTGCTCGACCAGCCTCAAGTAGTTGTCTCTTTGGCTCCACAGTCAAGCTTCCGGGTCGCTAAGACCACCAATACTTCAGCCCCCTCTTCAGGTCTCTCAATAAGGAATATCCTTCCACGGTGTGGGTAACCGGGAAGTGACAACCACCCTTATACCTCTACTAGCACGCGAAGTTATCTTGTTGATGATCGAATCCTTCCCTTACTTCTTAATAATTCTTCCATTCCCACGATTAGCCCTTCTCACATATCTTTATCACCATGCGCCACCAAAGCTAATGGTTTGAATTCAAGAAAAGTTATTCCTGGTCTCCTGAAACAACACTCTACACTACATATTGCAGCTTTTAATGTTCGAACCTTGTGTCATATAGGAAAATAGGCTTCTCGCACCGTCGATGTATGGTGAGTCTCCGAAACATGCAGACAGGATCCAGGTACGGTCATTCACTTGACATCACCTCGTCAATATAAAGAACTTGTACGATTTATCCTCCAAGCATCTGGAGATGTCATTGCTACTTCCTGTGGTATAGCATCAAGTTCTAGGGCAGAACGGGCTCTCCTAGACTGGATTCCAATAAACAGTTGCTTATACGCTGTTCGACTAAACGGGACAGTCAGAATTTAAAAAGATAGGGGCACTCGCCGTTATCTTTTCGTTGTCTCTGCTTATACTCCTGATTGCAGCTTCGACGAAGTTGAAGATGAATTTTATAGGAAGCTATCCAACCTTCAAAAAGCTAAACGCTCTGATGTAGTAATAGTGGCGGGTGAAGTTAATTCTCGAGTAAACTAAACCAAACCGAAAGTCACTTAGTCAGATCTTATGGTGTTGAGGCTCAGCGAATAGATAATAGCAACCGTCTGTTGCGATTATGCTCAGATAACCGTCTATTCCTGGAAAAGACCAACACCAACACCAAGTTGGTATGATATCCAGAAAGCCATAGAAACAGAAAAGGTTTAGGAAAATAAGTGGATTTCATTAGCGTCAACAGAACTGATAGTTGCTCGGAAACATCCCGTCTAGCTTTGAACACAATGAGGAGCGAAGGCAACCTAAATGTAGGTTGATCAAAAGCCTACGTAATGATCGTGAGCAGTGGTGGGAAACGAAAGCAGAAGAGATGGAAAAGACAACAGGTAGGTAACAGTAGACAGCTGTTCAGACTTATCAAGGGAACGGGTATTGAAAATTCAGTTGTTAGTAAAACTATCTCGGAAAAAGACAGGACTATTATTCACTCACAATCCAAGGGACTGAACCGATGGGCAGAACACGTTAAGGAATAGTTCAGCTTGCCTTCAACCACACTTCAGTTACCCACTATCTCCAAGTAACCTGGACGGCAAACTGATGTAAGTCCTTCAACTATTAGTGAGATTGAAAATGTTATAGGCAATCTAAAGCGAGGGATGGATGGACTAACCCCTAAGATTTTTAAGTATGGTTGTTCAGTTTTACCAGTTCAATTAATTGAGATCTTCGTTAGAATCTAAAAACTGAACGTAATCCCATCTGAATGTTCTCGATTGCTGATCGTCCTAGTCTATAAGAAAGACAAAAGTCCCCTCGTGCCAACAACAGATGAATCAGTTTTACTAATATAGTGTCTAAAATATTGGCCTCAATAATATTTTGACGTCTGACTAGAGCTCATGAAGAGCAAATATAAGAAAACGGCTGGTTTCAAACCTGGGTGTGGATGTATAGACCGGACATTTACCCTTCGGCAGATCCTGGAACATAAGCATATTTCTCGACGTCCTACTATAATTGTATTCCATTACCTTAAGGCAGCGTTCGACTCCGTTGACCATGAGGTTTTATGGCAGTGTTTGTCATTGAAGTTTGTCACAGAGGTACATCAACCTTGTACAGGCTCTACAAAAACACATCTGGTCGAGTCAGAACTTACGGCAAACTGTCACAGAGGCCGGTTACCTCAAGTGGTGGTCGTCGGGGTTGTTCCGCTTCCGCCATTTTTATTTAACTTCGTCATGAATATGCTCTTGAAGATAACACTTTGATTATGACTTTTCAGGAGTTCGTCTACTACCAGGAAATTCACTTGTTGACCTAGCATGTCTGGGATGCAGTTCTCTCCCTCCATATATAAAATGTTACTTCAGGATAGGTTTTTGTGACCACCTAAATAAGTGATAAGGAGCGAAGCAGTCGAACGCATCGACTGCCTCTTTTATCCCGGGAGTCTCATCAGTACTGATGGTCTGGTGTCTAACTAAATTTCGGCACGGATTCAGAAGGCTCGATTGACTTTTACCAACATGCACCACTCATGGCGTTGGTGAGGTATTCGTCTTCCAACCAATGGGCGAATTTACTGAGCGGCAGTTCGCTTCGTTCCACTTAATAGACGTGGAACATGGCCATTAAGAGTAGGCGATATTTGTAGCTTACTGGTATTCGACCATCGATGTCTACGAAACACTTCTCTTGTATTTTAGGAATGAACTATGCCTGGGTTATGAATAGAGTACTAGGCAAAGATAGTAAATCTACTGATGACGTAGTAAATCTTCATCAACTAAAGTGGTTTCGACATGTGCTGCGTGTGCCCAATATCAGCCTACCTCGACGGGAAATGCTTTCTAGTACAAAGAAGGGATGCAAAAATGTCGGTGGCGGCCACACCAAAACATGGCATCAGTTCGTGAACTCACTGAAAACTGGACATAGCCATGGTAATAGGTACGGACTATGGAGTTGCGGTCCCCGTGATTATCGTAGCTAACGGTTAGAGACTTTGAATGGCGTGAATCAAAATCGTCTGCAATGGCGCAGGTGCATCCATTCTTTGTCTTCTCACAAATCCTGACATTCTAATTCCCTCATAACGTTCTTTGTGCTTGTCTCACTAATTTGTTTTCGTTTAGAGTCGTGTCTTGAATGCCTAATTTTTCTTATCACA